ACACACACACACACACACACACACACATATACATATATGTATGTGTGTGTGTGTGTGTGTGTGTGTGTGTGTGTGTGTGTGTATATATGCATAAATATATATGCATAAATATATACAGTGCGCGTGTATATATTATGTAAATACAAACTTTTATCTTGGATGCAATTTTTTATGTACAGAATATATTTAAAAAGTGAAGCCATGATCTAGAAAATTCATCGAAAATCTGACCTTACTTTGTTGGCTCACGATCAAACGCTCAAACCCAAAAGCAGCTGCAAACACATGCGCATTGATTTGATAGAGTGTCTGGTTTCCAAGCACAACAGGTGTGTGTGTGTGTGTGTGTGTGTGTGTGTGTGTGTGTGTGTGTGTGTGTGTGTGTGTGTGTGTGTGTGTGTGTATGTGTGTGTGTGTGTGTGTGTCTCACAGCTGGAGAAGAAGCTTTGAGTCAGTCAGTCAGTGGGTCAGTGGGTCTGCAGCGCCGACATGCAGATACATATTCAACACTGATCAGACACTGCAGTGCCTCAACGCACGATCACAAGATTAACATGATGCACATATTGACGTTATGGAAAAGAAACACATCAGCTGTCAATTAAAAACGCTGCTTTTCCTTCAAAACCAAATAAGTACTACAAAAATATCAAAGTGCAATAGAAGTATCATAAAGTTACAATGCACCAAAACTGTTAAACAATTTGAGCTTAAAACTATTATTATTATAATTATGATTATATATTTTTTGTTGTCATTATTATAATTATTAATTATTAGTAGTAGTAGTACATTTATAATAGCTTTTTGTATATTCAAGTCTAACAACAACAGTCAAGTATTTAGATGCTGGTAATTATCATCAAAATATAAAAAAATTTATCTATATTAATTAATTAAAATTCTGTAAAATAATTTAATTTAGTTAAATTAAAAGTAAAAAAAAAGTTGCCATAAAGTTCATTTTATTTTGCCAATTTTGTGAATTTATGATCTTATTTGTAATCAATTATGTTATATTTATTAAGTATATAATTTATAAATCAGCATTATCGACAAACTGTCTATGGAAAAAATATATAAAATTAAAAAAAAATAAAACATAATATAAAATTGAATGAAACAAAATCAAATCAAATTAAATTAAATAAAAAAATAAATAAAATAAAATAAAACATAAAACGTAGTTAAACATGTTTTAAATAAATAATTAAAAATAAAATAAAACAAAAAAATAAAACATAAAATAACATAATGAAACAAAATAAAATTTAATTAAATTTAAAAATAAAAAAAATTCTTAAAAAATAATAAAAATAAAACATACAATTACATTTTTCAAATAAATAAATAAATAAATAATAAAACAAAACAAAATAAAATAAACAAAATAAAAATCATATTCTTCTTAATCTTATTTGTAATCAGTTATGTTATACTAATTAAGTATATAATTCACAAATCAGCATTATCGACAAACTGTTTATGGAAAAACAAAATAAAATTATTTTTTAAATAAATAAATAAAATAAAACATAAAATAAAGTAAAATTAATAAAAAATAAAACAAAACATAAAATCAAACAAAATAAATTAAAACAAAATTAAATTAAATAAAAACTGGTAATTGTATTGATTTCAGCAATAAAAAAATATCGATGGACACTATAAAAGGTTTTAATTATTTTAAAGCAATCTTGTGCACACTTGATATTATTTGGAGTTATTAAATTATATTATTTAAACATCAGCATTATATTAGATCATGCAAACCTGGTCCTACGCTCAAACATTATTCTCTTTTCTGTTAAGTGTTTCAATAAAAGAAAGTCCATAATTTGATTCATTAGTGTCTAATTATTAATTAATGCTTCTCACCATTCTCAGCAAGAGGCGCCAAAACCTCAAAGATCATCTCCTTCTTCTCGTGCTCCGCCTGCTTTCGGAAGAGCCGCACCAGCTCCTCTGCGATATTCGTGGAGGCAAACTGCTCCTTACTGGACTCTGTTGGAGGATCAGCCAAAAGAGAAGTGTTAGCCTTATGCAATATCATCCAATATGCAGTTATTCGCCCTCTTGGGAATTTTGTTTCTTTTTCAAATATTTCTCAAATGATGTTTAACAGAGCAAAACATTTTTCACAGTATTTCCTGTAATATTTTTTCTTCTGAATAAAGTCTTATTTGTTTTATTTCGACTAGAATAAAAGCAGCTTTTAAATTTTTTTAAAAACAATTTTAAGGTCAAAATTATTAGCCCCCATAAGCAATATTTGTTTTCAATTGTCTACAGAACAAACCAATGTTATACAATGACCTGCCTAATTCCCAGAGTTAACCTTAACCTAGTTAAGCCTTTAAATGTCACTTTAAGCTGTATAGAAGTGTCTTGAAAAATATCTAGTCAAATATTATTTACTCTCATCATAACAAATATCAAATAAATCATTTATTAGAGACGAGTTATTAAAACTATTATGATTAGAAATGTGTTGAAGAAATCTTCTGTCTTTTAAACAGAAATTGGGAAAAAACAAACAAACAGGAGGACTAATAACTCAGGGGGGCTAATAATTCTGACTTCAACTGTATTATAATGCATGCAGGTGTGCAGTGTGACAGGATGGAATCAGGATCTCACCGAGCTCTGCCAGGTTGCCAAATGCGATGAGACACATTTCTGTGAGCGGCGTGTTTTGGGAATGAACGCCCAGCAGTCGCACTAGGGTTGGTATCACACCCATGCTGATCAGCTGAGCCTGCAACGAGTCTGCAGAAGGAAGAAAACACAGCATTTATTACAGTTCAGGCAGTTTACTGAACAACAGTGACATAATAGCAGTTACTAAATGTGCTGTACAGACAACTGTGGGAAAAATCAGAGCACATCACGAGGAGAACATCCAAACTCCACACTGAATTTGCCAACTGGCCCAGCCGGGACTCGAACCAGCGACTTTATTGCTGCAAGGCGACCTTCTTCTGAGCCACCGTGCCACCACTCTAAAATCTATATTATCTAAATCAGGGGCCAACCC